AGGTGTGCGAGCCCGTTGATCAGATCTACAACTACAACCTGCGGAGCGCCCAAGATCGACGAGAGATTCTACAGCTCTACCGCACATGCAAGCCGCAGTTCCTCACGCTGGAGTACCCCTGCACACTCTGGACACAACTTACCGGGCTGAACTGTCGAGGCGGGGCTAAACAACAACAAATAGTCGCCAGCGTCTTCGAGATCGTCCCCTACTAGACTTCGTGGAGGAGATCGGTATTACGCAGATGAACAGCAAGCGAGACATCCTGTTCGAGAACCCCTTGACGTCGGAGGTATTCGAGCAGTCCCAGATCAAGCGTTTAAAGGAGGATCCCCGGGTGAAAGAGGTGAAGGTCGACATGTGCCAGTTCAACCTACGACGCCAGCAGTCTAACGGAATGGTCAAGAAGCCGACGAAGCTCCTGGTCTCTCATGCCTCCTACGTCAAGTGGCTCAGCAGGCAAAGCGACGGACGTCACCCGCATCACCGACTGGAAGGAGCTCACCACACGCGCAAGGCAGGACGATACACCAGAGAACTCGCGAAGGCAGTCTTGCAAGCAGACCAGCACAGCAACATGACCTACATGATGAAAGACGGAGTCTACGCGACCGGCGACTTGATGGATCTTATGGGCGGCGAATCGGACGAGTGGTTCTACTGCGAGAACGTGGGCGACTTTACCGAGATACCGGTCAAATTGCCAGATGGACCTGACTGGGGCCGCGTAGGCAGAAGAAGGGCCGTAGACCTCGAGACCGACACGGTGGTGCAGGACTTCGAGAAGGCCGAGATTACCACGGATTTGATCAAGCCGAAGTTGGATCGCACTGCCAAGCTGAAGATTCAGCTATGGTACAAGCCAGAACCTGTTGCAGAGGACATCGGAGCCAAGGCCATCCAGTTTGGACCTGGAAGTTCAGAGTGCTCACGCAAGGACCTCGCAGCTCTATGACAACTTCACCAGAACTTGGGCCACCCCAGCAACGAGGATCTTGCCAAATCGTTGAGATTTTCAGGATGCAGACCAGAGGTAGTGAAGGCCGCGAAGTCACTACGATGCGCGACGTGCATGAGCAAGGTCCGGAAGAACATCGCGAGACCAGCTAGACTTTCCCACGCAGCCGGCTTCAATTAACAGGTTGGTTTGGACTGTTTTACGATCAAGGATGTGGATGGTCCGTCATGGGATTTCTTATCGGTGGTGGATTTAGGTACGACGTTTCACGTTGTGGGCATGATTGGAAGTCATCATTCGGAAGTCTTGGTTAAGGTATTCACTCAGATATGGACAAGCTGGGCAGGACCACCAGCAAGTGCAGTCGTGGATTTGGAGCGTGGATTTGGTTCGGTCTTTCCGGATATGCTTGATAAGTTCCACTACGCGGTCGTTCCAGTGGCCAGTCAGGCAGCATGCCAACGCGGACGGACTGATCGCCAAGGAGACTGGTGGAAGGAGTTGGCCGAGTGAACCATTTCGCACACCGCGGCCGCAGGTGAGTCCGACATGCGCATCATCGCTTCCGTGGTCACGGGGGCCAAGAATGCACTACGACGTCAATGTGGTTTCAGTCCAGAACAGTGGGTTTTCGGCAAGAGCGCGCGACTACCAGCTGATCTGATGGACGGAGCTCACCATGACGCAGCGCATGCAGGGGCCGAACTACAACCGATGGAACGACAGCTGAAGATGCGGATCGCCGCCCGCAAGGCTTTCATGGAAATGCAGAACGATAACACGCTACGCAAGGCACTACTGGGCCGTGCCCGCGTGCACCCCCGCCCGCTTGAGCAAGGTGACCTTTGTTTCTACTACCGCCAGCTCAAGAAGGGCTCGATCAAGAAGGGCACCTGGTCGGGGCCAGCCGTGATCGCGGGGGAACAAGGCCAGAATTATTGGATATCGCACGGTGGTTGCACCAAGCTCGTAGATCCAGAACACATTCGGCCAGTTACTACTGAAGAAGTCTGGAGGCCGGGAATAGACGATCAGCATGGAGAGGCCCTCGACCAGCTTCAGCGACTAAGCCGTGACACAGACGCCAGCGCCGACATGGAGTGCGAAGATCTTCGAGGAGAACAACCACCGCCAAGGATGCTGTTGTGAAGAAGCATCAAGCAGCAGAAGAGGAGCACCAAGCAGCAGAAGAAGCAGCCCAACCACCACAAGCACCAAGCAGCAGAAGAATAACAAGTTGTGGAGATGGAGGCGGATGCTGCAGGAGCCCCCGCCGAGGATGCATCAGGAGTTCGTGATGATGTTGAGCTCTCACCTGCAGAGGAGCTCCCATCTGGTCAAGCTGACGCACCCTCATTATCGCCTTCCCCGATTTCAACACAGACACCCGGACAAGCACAGGATAACCCTGTACTCAACAACGAGGACTGGAACCGCGAGGAGTTTCAGCGACGCCGAGCAGTCTACAGCCCCCTCGATGACGTACCACACTGCGTTCGAGGGAGTCCACAGCAAAAGAACCTGCCCACCGCATCGCTGGACGACAAGCCGCTCGACAAGCGGGGCAGCCTTACATCGTCAGCATCATCGCCGATGACGGCGACCAGGGTACTGCCACCAACTCCAGCTTCGCAGCAATGCTTCGTGGAGCTCGAGCTCAGAGCGAAAGGATCAGACAGAGGCTCCAAGACAAAGAGATCGCTTGGAAGGACATCACCGAGGAACACAAGCCACTCTACCGAAAAGCCATCGCCGAGCACTGGGAGGAATGGAAGAAGTTTGGTTCCGCGGAGGCGCTTTTACGGGAGGAATCTCAACAAGCCCGGAACGATAATGACAGCAACCGCTTCCTGCCGTCTCGCTTCGTGTTCCGTGACAAGAATGTCAATATCCGCACCGATGCTAACCCCGTGTCGGTGAAGGCCAAGGCTCGACTATGTGCTGGAGGACATCGTGATCCAGATCTACAGACAGGAGCTCCACGGACAGACGCTCCTACAGTGACGCGAACCAGTTCGCTACTGTTCTTTATCATGGCGGCGCGTTTCGACTGGAGCCCAGCGCGTGCCGACGTCATGTCCGCGTTCATGCAGGGAGAAGAGCAGCCCAGAGACAAACCTCTTTTCATGGAGCAGCCGCCCCAAGGTCTACCAGGACTTCAACCAGGACAAGTATTACGCATCGTCAAGGGCATGATTGGACTGGCGACTGCCCCACGACAGTGGTGGGCTACTCTCAAGAACGCACTGCTTAAGGTTGAGCTCGTGAGCAAGGATGGCCACATGTTCCACTTAGTTACTTAGTTCAAAGCTTGGTGGATCCAGCTTGATTTGTGGGGCATGGTTCAGACGGAACTCTGCAAGCTATTGTGTGTGTGTTCACGTGGATGATTCACTGATTGCTTCCAGTACTCAAGCCAGCTTTGATACAATCAGGAAGCTGTTTCCGCCCGGAGGTTGGCAACGGCTAGATTTCACTTTTTGCGCTAAGGATGTTGTTCAGCGTTCAGACGGAGCAATTCGAATGAGCCAGTCAGTGTTCGCCGAGAAGCTAGAACCGCTCGAGTTGACCAAGCAGCGCAAACCAGATCTAGGACGCCCTGCCACTGAGATCGAGATCGCCGAGAACCGGAGCGTGATTGGCAGTTTGGGTTGGCTCTCCACGCAAACTCGACCAGACCTAGCTGCGGGAGTTTCGATGGCTCAGAGAGTACAGAACTCACCCACGGTGGCCGACCTGATCGAGACGAATCGCATCGTATCCGAGGCCAAGCGTTACAATGAGACCGCCATCACGATCCCGAAGTTGCAGGGCGAGCTCTGCATCCTAGTGTTCCATGACGCTGCGTGGGCCAACGTGGACGAGCCAGACGACAAGGTAGCCGGTACCGCCTGGTGGTGTCGACGCCGCATGCGCACCGCCTACGCTTCGGAGGCTCCGAAGAGGCTCAAGGCTAAGAGCCAGGCGGGATTTCTATTATTCGTGGCCGAGAGGATCATCCAGGACGGAGAAGGCAAGGCAGCTTTGGTTGACTGGAGGTCAGCTACAATTCGAAGGGTATGCCGAAGCACATTTACAGCAGGGGCTATGAGCGCGGTGGATGTTATGGGAGCATCTATTGTTATGCGCGCTTCAGCTCTTAATATTTTGTTTCCGAAGATGAGTATCGACAGCATCGGTCCTACTTTATTTTATGCCCGATTCAGTGTGTAACGGACTGTGCTTGTTTATATGATACAACTCAACGAGAAGGAGCTGTTAAACTTCCAGTTGAGCGTAGATTGGTTTTGGAATTGATCGGACTACGAGAACTCATGGAGGACTAGATTGTGGAAGAAGTTGCCGCAGCTTCTACATCCAAGTTGTCTCTGGCTTGGTGTCCGACTAAATTTATGCTAGCCGATGCTCTAACTAAACGAATGGATGGATCGCGGATCAGGAAGTCGATGGGTTGAGTTATCATGTATCACCAAGACACCCCGCATAAGAGCGACCACGACTCGAATGCGATGCTGAGTGCGTGGGCGACCGACTGGGAGTACATGGTTTGATGTACTCCTGCAGTGGACAGATATTGGTAACGTGAGCCTACTATCCCTATTCCATATTACGAAGTCCATCGGTTGCCTGCTTATTTTTCCTTTGCAAACTGTTTGTGCTGCTGTCTGTTGTTTTTGAGACGGCGGATGTCGCTCGCTGCGGGACCTGGGAGTTTTGATGTTTGGCACGCTGCCGTGCCCTCCGTGTTTGTGCTTCTTGATCGACAAGGGGCAACATAAGTTTAGAACCAGTGTGAAATCGAGAGTGCTGGATAGCCCAGTGTTTGCCCTTCGTCTCACTTGTTTCTTATCCGTAAACATTGCGGCTCCCAGGGCCCTTGAGTCTCAGGCGACATACGAAAATTATCAGCGCCTATCTCAGAAGTTGCATCTTCACAGAGGGGGAGGAGGAGGGAGGAGGCAGGAAGAGAAGCAGGGGCAGCAGCAGGAAGAGGAGGAGGAGAAGAAGGAGGACGATAACGATGTCTTACCGCGCGCCGCAGGAGGGCGGCGCCCTGTCTGGCCGCTACTGGCAGGACAGCGGGCGGGTGGACAAATTCATCGTCTTCCTTCTCGTCCTCCTCGTCCTGCTCCGTCTCCTCCTCCTGTCGTTCTCGTCCTTCTCCTCCTGCGTTTGCTCTGATCCTCCTCCTCCTCCTCTTCTTCCTCCTCCTCCTCCTCCTCCTCCTCCCCCTCCTCCCTCTCCTCCTCCTCCTCGTCCTTCTCCTCCTCCTTCTCCTCCTCCTCCTCCTCCTCCCTCCTGCTCCTCCTCCTTCTCCTCCCCCTGCTCCTCCTCCTCCTTCTCCTCCTCCTTCCTCCTCCTCCTCCTCTCCTCCTCCTCCTCCTCCTCCTCCTCCTCCCCCTGCTCCTCCTCCTCCTCCTCCTCCTCCTCCTCCTCCTCCCCCTGCTCCTCCTCCTCCTCCTCCTCCTCCTCCTCCTCCTCCTCCTCCTCCTCCTGCAGATTCTAAACCTCAGAATCCTCAAAATGCAAGTACGTCCTAGTACTTCTCCCTCTCGTAGTTATCCTGACCGATCTTCCCCTGGAGCCTGCCCACTTTCTTTTGCGCGGTCCCCGCGCGCACCTCGCAGGCTCGAACCAGATTGGTCTATGGACGGGCCAAGGCAGCAACAGGCAAGAGTCAGCACTGCAATTCACACGCACTAGAAATTCTTGTTGCCTGTATTGCCTCGGCCGCTCGCACGTCACGCGAGTCAGCCTTTTCAAATGACCTCCTCAGTCGGAGGTGGACGGGCGCACGCGCCTAGCGGGCACCTTCAGCTCACGGTCGTAGGAGTCCTGGCGCTCCGCCTCCAAGGCCGTCATCTCGATGCCGAAATTGTTCTTCATCACCCGCAGCAGCGCATCGCGCTGATCGGGATAGTTGGACATCTGCTCGATGACTGCCAACGCCGTGGTTGAGAGCGCCTCCTGGTACGCCAGGTCCTCCTTCGGAAAGTCTGGCAGCTCGATCTTGATGAACTCCGCATCCTCCCTCGACTCCTCCTGCTTGGTCGAACTGCCCGCCTCCGTGCCCTTGCCCTTGTCCTCATACGGGGGAAAACGCAATATCTTTGTCAGGTGTTCGCTTCCGGTCGGCATCTCCATTTTGCAGGACGGGTTATGGACGGCAGTCTCGAAATAGTTCCTCTCCAGTTCACTCATCTGACGGATCATCGAGTCCTCGATAGCTGCTCCGGTCAACACCTGGACGTAATTCGTGTTGTTGTGGTATATCAGGGTCACTCTCATGTTCCGACTTGACTTCAAACCCGTGTCGAGGACTCCAGCTGGCACCTTCACTGTCATCTTACGCTCGGCTGCCACGCAACTGATCATTCTCGGGTAGCTGGTCTCCGCATCCGTGAGGCTCTGGAGGAGGCTCCGTACCGTCCTGGGCTCCCCGCGTGCGGTAAAGCCTACCATTTGAGCCACCACTGCACAGGCGACTGATGGCGTGGGAGTCGGCAGTCGGTCGCTTGACGAACCTTCTCTGCGGAGTCGGCGACGCTCCCTCTCCGCTGCTGCTTCTTGTAGCGTACTCGACTCGTCTGCAAGCTGATACACCCCGGATCGGACGCATGCCCTCAATAGGTCGTGGGCCTCGGCTTTTTCCTTGGTAAGGGCGTCTGCTAACATCAAGTACGTTGGACCCCACCTCAGAGTGCCTCCAAATCTCTGAAGGGCTTGTCGGGCAATCATGAGCTCCACAGCACATCGTCGGTCCTCAAGAGCCCCTGGGGAACCTATCTTACTGATATGATCGTAGGCCGATTTCGCATCTATAATCGCAACAGCCTCAAACGGTTTCAGGAACTCATACCTCGTCTCCAGAGTGAACTGTGGAAACATACATCCTGCAAAGAAACACATTACCCACTCCAGATGCCCCAGACCGTCGGCCAGTGCAGAGGCCTCTCCACCCAGAGATGATCTTATAGCCCGTTTGAGTCGGTAGCTACGCCAGATCAGAGGATTCCATGGTGATACCTTCCCACGTTGCATATCCGGTGTCGTCACACTCAGCACATAACCACCCTGGGTCTTCTTGAGACCCTCGTTTTCGCCCCTGGCAAAGTCGGTATGGATCATCATCCTGAGGTCCTCGAGTGGGATCGCAAAATATCGTATCGTGAGATCCTTGTGTTGGCGAGCACGGCGTACGAGCATGTTAGCATCTTTTATCTCCTTCACCGTCGGATTCGGCAACAGCTGCTGGTTCTTGCTCACCTGGCAAGACAGGTCCGGCCTAGTCTGACCTGCCAGCCAATTACCAGCCTGGTTCATCGAGATTTGGCAGCGCCTTGCTTTCATTTTTGGCACATCGTTTCACCTTGACTGGTTTCATCGTTTCGGCATAGGTCCTTTGTGACTGTATGTTAGTTCCGTCCGAAATCTGTTGTAACCAAGACCCCGTAAACTCACCAGACCCAATCCTCCACTTCCTCCATGGAAACCGTCGTTTGAGTTTGGCCATAGCAATCTCCCACCTGTCACCTCGTCCTCCTCCTACCGTGTCATCCACATGTATCCCCATCAGCCCACACAGAGCACCCGGAGGTCCCCGAGTAGATCCAATCGGCACACACTGAGGCGTCGAAGGTACAGGCTGTCCAGTCTGCACAGATTCAAACATAATAGACAGACACGGATCAAGAGGATGGGCCACGAAGCCGATCTCCTCAGCATATCGCTTGAAAGTCGAGAACCACCGCTGCGGCTGATCCACACCGCCGTAGCCGTTCACAAGTTCGTACAGCTGGTCCGGGTGATGGCCCTTCGGTGTATGCTCCCTGGGTGCTTTCACGAATATCGGCCCATTGGGCCTCTCCTCAGGATCAGCTTCCAGAAACGCTCCTCGGATGTCTCCCAGAACTAATTGAAAACGAGCCGAAGCCACCAGTTGTAGGACCGTTGCCTTCCCTGTCGTTGAGAGCGTAGGACTCTGGGTCTTGCCGGCCCGGACCATTTCCAGCACATCTGGATCCTCAAAGCCTTGCACTGTCAGCCTACACCGCAGTTCCGTGCTCCCGTCATCCTCCGTTTTGAGGGTCAGCACGGGGCGTGACGGCAAAATGCGGTCCGGAACCTCCAGACGAAGACGACGAGACTCCTCAACCGAACGTGCTTTCCAGGCCTTCTGATCGATGATTAACTTTTGGAACTCCTTCTGATATGCCTCCTCCACCTGACGTCGTCCCTCCTCAGTCTGCCACCTCGGATCCTTCTCACGCTCCTCCTTCCTCCCCCTCGCAAGTAGCACGTCAGTGTCCGTCACCGCCAGGATCGGGGCCTCTTCTTCCCCATCACAGGTGACCGCTCCACAGTCAAAAAGGGGCGTCGGAGCCGCCTCAGGGTTGGACAACTGAGGTGGGAGAGGTGGTGAAGAGCTGGAGTCGGACAGTCCTGGAGGTTCTTCTAGGCGGGGCTGTTTGTGCGGCTGAGGTTCGGCAGGGTCATCGGCGCTCCGAGTCAGCTCTTCCTTCTTCGGGCCAGTCTTCGATCCGAAAGGTACTCGTCGGGACCCCGTCGGGTGATCGGGACTTCCTGTCGGCACAGCATGTGGAAAAGAGGACCACATGGAGTCGGGGTACGGGCACCTGGACGAGGGATCTCCTGGAGTCGGTTCGGCCGATGACGTCTTCGACGGCGGTGTCGGTGGCGGTGTCGGATCGATCGATATCGAAGGTGCCGGAGTCGGGACCCCATCTCCTGGACCTGGAACCGCCCAACTCGAGTCATCTACTTCTTCTTCTGGGGGACCTTCTGGAGGCTTGGGGCCCTTCGTGATGTCGTCAAAGTATCTCCCAGACAGATTATCCAGGTCTACCGTCGTCGTCCGTAATTCAGCCTCCACCAGCCTCCATGCCGTACGTTCCTCCCTTGTAGCCTCCCTCATCTGCTCCGGGGATGCTTTCACCAGGCTTCCAGGAAGAGCAACCCAGTAGTTTCCCCTGACCGGCCCAACACAGATTCCTGGACGCCACCTGTACGACGACGTCTTTCCAGCTATTGCGCCCTTGACCTTGCGCCACACTGCTACCATATCTCCAGCCTGAAAAACACGATGCACTCGTGGACGGCAGTCGAGGGCAACACGAGCTGCCTTCTTCTCGTTGTGCGCCAGGATCACCCGTCGGGCCATCGCGCGAATACTGGCAGCCCTCGCTGCCACAGAATCGTGCAACACACAGCTGTTAGCCACAAGATTCGGGTTTTCCTGAAGTAAATCTTCTGGGACCTCCGGGTTCCTGCCAAACACAATCTGACACGGGGAAACACCTTCCACACTTAACACCGAGTTCTTGGCCTCCTGGAGCTGCGATACACATTCCAACCATTCACCCTCATCTTGTGGCCGAATCTCATCAATCATCACCTGCAACCACTGTTCAAACCACTTACCGTGTACCTCCACTTTTCCGTTCTGTTCCTTCGCCATACCTGCAGTATCCACCAGGATCGTCCCGTCCCGGTCCATGGCATCTTTAAAATCTCCCGACACATGTGCGCTAGCAGCATCTACCTTCAGCCACTTGGGCCTCATGTATGGTCGGGTCCAGTTGTCCCGATACGTGCGAAGCAAACCTTGGGACGACTCTGTCTCTCCGACCTTTAGTGGAGCCATCACGTGGAGAGAGGACGCATCACAGATAATGTTGAGACATTTCCGTTTCTCCCCCGGGATGTAGTATGGCAGTTCCTTCACATCCATCGCCACCGATTTTAACGGAGGCTGAAGTGTGGGAGGGGCGCTATACCTTGCAATGCCGGGCTGTCGGCGTGATGCACAGTCGTCGCAATGAAAATTCGTTGCCTGTCGTAATGCCTCGGGACTCGCATTCGCATGTCGAAGGTGTCGGAGCATCGTCGCAGTCGTCGCATGACCCAAGTTCACATGGAGCCGTCGTAGGGCCGCCCCAAAACTCTGTGGTCGCCTGGGACATACCTCATCATCGTCTCCTCGATCCTCGTCAACGGCACAGGCCTCCACCTCCTTTCCCCCATCACGGATCACACACGCCATCGACAGTCCCTGGAGAATTCGTTTCACCAGCTTTGTCGGGTAGATCTGAGTCCATCGGGGTAGAGAGATACCCAGTCCTGGCAGAGGGCTCCCACCCTCGGTCCTCACGTGGGCATGGCCACCGTCGCATGGGAGAGACAGCTCAGCTGCCACCTCCGGTGACGACGTCACGAATTTCCAGCGCTTACTCAGAAGAATTCCTGAAATAGGGTGCCGAAGGCCCACACGACAACCACTCGTCACACCCACCCAGACCCTTGGGTCCTGAAGTAGCCGTTTCATAGCCCGTAGCCCGTAGGTCGCTGCAGTCGGAGGTGCCTCAAAATGAAGTGCCGGTCGTTAGAGAGCTGATATTCGGCAATCCGGATACATTCCAACACAAAACGCTTGGCTTCCAGGAGTTCCTGAAGATGTCGTTTCAGATCTTTCCGTTTTCCATCTGGGGTCAGGTTCTGAAGAGCCGTGAGTTTTTCGCAGGGAGGTGACATGATAACACAGAAAGGCTCTTCTTTTCGGATCCTATCCCACAGCTCCTGCAAGTCCTGGGGCTGGCGAGCATCCCAGCCCGAGACCTTGTCGAACGACCCGAGGTCGCGCATCCCGTAGTCGGGCGCGTGCGGGCATACCCGCGGGGGCGAGAAGACCTCCATCACCCCGGGCACCTGGTTCTTCACGGCGAGGACCTGGAAGCTGATGTCTTCGCTGGTCTGAGGGCGCCGACCCGGCCCTACTGAAAAGGCGTCGGCAGGTCGTCGATCCTCAGCTTCGTCTCATCCACCGAAGTGTCCGGCTTCGGGTTGTCCTCAAACTCGCGCCCGAGCAAGTCCACCTCATAATGTCCACTGCCTTCCGCCTCGCGAACGGGAACTGACGTGTCTAGCCGGCCAAGCCACAGACGGTTCTTGCTCATGTCTAGATTCGCCTGGAGCATCTTCATCACTTGCTTGCTGATCAGGAGTCCGGCCTTGCCCTCGATCACGTAGACCAGGATTCTCACTCGCTTCTTGGCCGCGGGGATGTGCCACTGAATCCAGCACGCCCTCTGACATCTCCTGAGCTTCCCGTCGTAGCTCTTGAATCTGACGCTCGGCACCTCCTCCCACTCCGGCTTCAGGCCCGTTTCCTTCTCGTATTCCTCGAGAGCCTCCGATCTGATCAGGGCCATACCACATCCGGAGTCAAGAGCACCACAGCCTGGGGCATGACACGCACATGCCTCGACGGTGTCCTCATCTTCGTCAGCCTCGTCGATCTCGTCCGCATCTGCATCCTGCTCCAGCTCTCGCCTCTCGTGTGCCAGCCGTCTGAACTTCTCCTCGTTCGTCAACTTGGTGATGAGGTTCGGCTGCTTGTCTTTCGACCATGAGGCGAGCAGCACGTCTATCTCAGACCATACACCCTCATCATCTTCATTTGCCGTCGTAGGCTGGGTCACCATCACCTGGATCACTGCTTCCTGTCGTACTGCTCGGTCCCTGGTTGAAAGATCTCTGCATGAAACGCTTCTGGCCACCCTGCTGTAATCGGTGTCGCTTTGGACATTCCCGGCTGAAATGGCCAATCTCCTTGCACAGGAAGCAGCGGACCTTGTCCTTCAATCGCTTGAGACCCGCTGCACCGCGTCCGGGTAGTCCTCGCTGTAACTTTTCCTTATTCATAGCAGTCCTCGTCTCCTTCCACGTAGCCAAGACGTCGATCGCGTCCTCCTCGTCCAAGGGATCTTCTTCTTCCCCAAGCAGCTCGTTGATCTCGGCCTCCAACTCATCATCTTCGACCATCGATGTAGTCTCCGCAGCGGATGCCGCGGGCGCGATGGTAGACCTGTCCTCCCAGGCGTTCACCTCGTGGACCTGGGACGTCGGCATCTGCTTGGGGTAGGCCGTCCGGATGGCGGCCGACATCTCAGAAAAGCCCCACTGGCGCTGACTGGCTGCCAGCACGACCGCTCTCCGCTCCATGCCGAGCCGGGCCCCCTTCAAGAGCAGGAAGCCCTGGGCCACCAGGGGGAGCTCCACCCCCTCCTTCCTTGCTCTGGCGAAGATCGTCCTCGCTCTTCCCTTGTATGCCGAAGACGTCTCGCCTCGCTCGATGGCCAGCCCGAAGACACTCTCCAGCGCGTCGCCGATCCTGTCACTGGCCTCCTTGTCGGGGAAACGTTCCTCCAAGGCCTGGAAGATCAGATCGGCGCCTCCTTCCTTCTCGATGTCCGCGAGCTCCAGGTGCTCGCATGCTCTCTCTGCCTCATCGTCGAGCAGAGTCAGCACTAGAGGGCCCAGAGCCTCCTTCGCCAAGCCTCTGCTCGCCTCCACGGCAAGCTTTGCGCCGATCCAGCGCCGCCAGCTCTTGAACTCCAGCGCCGCGTCGTTCCCCTTGCCTGAGAGACGCCGCCACTGACCAGAGCCACCACTCGCAGAGCCTCCGTCCGCCATGTCCCCGCTGAAGGACTCGACGTTGGCTCAAGACCAATGCAGATTCTAAACCTCAGAATCCTCAAAATGCAAGTACGTCCTAGTACTTCTCCCTCTCGTAGTTCTCCTGACCGATCTTTCCCTGGAGCATGCCCACTTTCTATTGCGCGGTCCCCGCGCGCACCTCGCAGGCTCGAACCAGATTGGTCTATGGACGGGCCAAGGCAGCAACAGGCAAGAGTCAGCACTGCAATTCACACCTCCTCCTCCTCCTTCTCATCCTCCTCCTTCTCCTCCTCCTCCTCCTCCTCCTTCTCCTCCCCCTCATCATCACCGTCATCCCCCATGCCCCTTCTCCAACTCCTCCTCCTCCACCTCGTCCGTTTTTCAGTCCTACGTCCCCCCAAGGCAAATCACGGACACTCACAGGGCCGATTGGCCGCCGAGGACAAAGAGCCTTGACCGAACGCCCCTTAAGACCAATCGAGAGGGTCCTCATGTCCCATCCTTCTCCTCTCCCCTCCTCCTGTCTTCCTCCCCAGTTCTCCATCCTCTCCACCCTTCTCCCTCATTGTATTCCCCGCCTCCTGACTCCGGTGCCGATGGCAACGCCAATGCCGACGCCAACGACGACAGGGATGACGAGGACGACGTCGACAAAGACGCGGCCGATGACGACCACGACCACGACGACCACCACCACCACCACCACTATGCAGCAGCCGACGACGGCGACGACCACGACGACGACGACCACGACGACGACGACGACGACGACGACGACGACGACGACCTTGACAACGCCGAACAACGACGGCAGCGACGACGACTCATCCTCAGCCTCCTTGGCTGTGGCCTCATGCTGGCGACGACGACGCTGACGACGTCCATGGCGACAACGACCACCGTCAACGCCAACGCCGCCTACGCCGAGCACGTCGGTGCCGAACGCCGACGACGACGCCAGCGTCTCCGACGCCATCGGCGACACCGCCGACGTCGTTGCCGATGGGGCCAAAGGCGCGGCCGACGACGACGCGGCCGACGACGCCGACGACGACGACGACGGCGGCGCCGACGTCGTCGTCGGCATCGACCCCCGCAGGACGAGCGCCCCTCCGCCTCGGTCGACCTGGACCTGGCCGGCGGCCTCCTGCCCGCGCCCGCCCGCGCGCTGCTGCCCTTCGGGGGCCCTCCGAGGCCGCGCCCCCCTCGCGGCGGCGCCGTCGTCGGCGTCGCCGCGGCAGTGAAGCGGGCGCTGTTCCGAGCGAGCGGGGACGGGCGGGCGGGCCCCTGCAGGCGGGACGGGCGGGCGGACCCTTCCAGGGCGGGCCTCGAGAGGCGGGACGGGCGGGCGAATGCTAATGGGCGAGTCGAGCGGGCGGGCGGGCACTGTCGTCGTCGGTGTCGGCGTCGGCATTGGCGCCGCTTGAAGGGGAGAGGAGCGGCAGCGGCAGCAGCACGAAGACGACATCTTGACCTGCTGGCGTCCTGACTAACTACGACTTCGACGACGTCGCCGACCACGAGACGACAGAAACGCAGTCGACGAAGACGACGACGATCGACTAATTTGCCAGAACGCATGTGTCGACGGGGGCGCCCCCTGGGAAGCTCAGAAGCGTCCAGCGCACTCCTCGCATGTCTTGCACCATGGGCCATCCTTGGGCAAGCTTCGAGGGGCGTTGGGTCACTGGCAGACCGTTTGGAGGCCCAACCAAAGACTCCGAAGATGGGCGGCCCCAGCACCGCAGCCCACGTGACATGCAGGTCGCCCACGCTGCTCCTCGAAAACATGCGCGGAGTCAGTCCCTGAAAATTATCGAGGACGAAGAGGAGGAGAAGGACCAGTGCAAACCCAAGACCCATCACCGATATTGTAATAAACCCTCCCTCCAAGTTCTCTCTTCACAGGCCCCTACAATGGTTCACCTTCACTGATGGAAGTGTCGCGTTGGAAGACAACCTTTTGAAAATCCGGAATTGTGCTAGAACGCCAGTCCTGCAACTTCAACGCCGCGGACCACCGTCATTGTTGCAGATTGACAGTCTTGACTCGTGCCAGACAGCCGTTCCTAGGACTTCAACACCGCGAACAAACGTTACCATTGCGCCCCGGCATTCCGACATCGTGCCAAAATACAATGTTTGGGACGAAACTGCTGCACATTCTTAGCACAAATGTGCGTGTCGCTCAAGCGAGAGCCAGATTTTGAAAGCGGGCCACCCTCCATCAGCGAAGCTCTTGCAATTTTGAAAACGAATGCGCAAGGCGCTGAGGCGAGAGCCAGATTTCGAAAGCGTGCCGCCCTCCATCCGCGAAGCTCTTGTAACTTTGAAGACGAATGCGCAAAGCGCTAAAGCGAGAGCCGCACTTTGAAAACGGCCCGCCCTCCGTTCGTGAATGTCTTGCAGACTTGTCGGACGACTTTGCGCGGTGCCAGCGCGAGAGCCGCACTTTGAAAACGGCCCGCCCGCCATCCGTGAAGCTCGTGCAACCTGTTAAACGAATGTGCGCGGCGCTAAGGCGACAGCCACATGTTTCAAACCATCCGCCCTCCACATGTTTCAAACCATCCGCCCTCCATCCGTGGAAATGTCACAAATTCTAACCTTCAGGATCCCAAGTGGTGACGAAGTCTTAGGCGAAACGCCTGGCTCGTCCTTTCGACCGGCCTCGGGGCGCGACAGTGAGGAGTCATGCATAAGGAAAAGCGATTGAGGATCAGGAGCAGCAGCAGAAGCAGGAGGAACAGGAGGAGCAAGAGGAGGAATAGGAGGGCGGCGGCGGCGGCCCCGGGCCCGGCAGGTTCACCTCGTACGACCCCACGACGTGGGAGGCGCTCTGGCGCGAGAGCGAGGCGCCCGCCGGCTTGCCGCTCGGCACCCGCCCGCCGCCGCCGTCGTCTGCGTCGACGCCGTGACAGCCGTTCGGGAGGAGAGGGCCGATGGGGGGGGGGAAGAAAGCAGCAGGCGAGGGGGGCAGGGAGGAGGAGGAGGCGGAGGAGGAGGAGGACCAGTTTAATCCCAAGACACATCAACGATGATACCGGAGACAAGCCCAATCATAATTCCCAACCGTCCTGTGGTGTTGGGTCCTCGTTTTGAAGAGACGGTGCCCCACGTTCTCCTTCCTCCCGCTGCCCTCCTCCTTGCTGCCGCCCGCATGCGTCACGCACACCCAATTCGGCACACCCCTCACACGTTTCGTGGCCCCATAGGGAGCTCCACCGAAGGCCCCAGTGCCCGCGCCCGCATGCGTCACGCACACCCAATTCGGCACACCCCTCACACGTTTCGTGGCCCCATAGGGAGCTATGCCGAAGGCCCCAGTGCTGCCGCCCGCATGCGTCACGCACACCCAATTCGGCACACCCCGCACACGTTTCGTGGCCCCCGTAGGAAGCTCCGCCGAAGGCCCCAGCGCTGCCGCCCGCATGCGTCACGCACACCCAATTCGGCACACCCCTCACACGTTTCGTGGCCCCATAGGGAGCTCCGCCGAAGGCCCCAGTGCTGCCGCCCGCATGCGTCACGCACACCCAATTCGGCACACCCCTCACACGTTTCGTGGCCCCATAGGGAGCTCCACCGAAGGCCCCAGTGCTGCCGCCCGCATGCGTCACGCACACCCAATTCGGCACACCCCTCACACGCTTTCGTGGCCCCATAGGGAGCTCCGCCGAAGGCCCCAGTGCTGCCGCCCGCATGCGTCACGCACACCCAATTCGGCACACCCCTCACACGTTTCGTGGCCCCATAGGGAGCTCCGCCGAAGGCCCCAGTGCTGCCGCCCGCATGCGTCACGCCACGGCACACCCACATTCGTGGCCCCATAGGGGGCACCCCTGCTGCCGCCCGCATGCGTCACGTTCGGCACACCCCTCACACGTTTCGTGGCCCCATAGGGAGCTCCACCGAAGGCCCCAGTGCTGCCGCCCGCATGCGTCACGCACACCCAATTCGGCACACCCCTCACACGTTTCGTGGCCCCATAGGGAGCTCCACCGAAGGCCCCAGTGCCCGCGCCCGCATGCGTCACGCACACCCAATTCGGCACACCCCTCACACGTTTCGTGGCCCCATAGGGAGCTATGCCGAAGGCCCCAGTGCTGCCGCCCGCATGCGTCACGCACACCCAATTCGGCACACCCCGCACACGTTTCGTGGCCCCCGTAGGAAGCTCCGCCGAAGGCCCCAGCGCTGCCGCCCGCATGCGTCACGCACACCCAATTCGGCACACCCCTCACACGCTTCGTGGCCCCATAGGGAGCTCCGCCGAAGGCCCCAGTGCTGCCGCCCGCATGCGTCACGCACACCCAATTCGGCACACCCCTCACACGTTTCGTGGCCCCATAGGGAGCTCCGCCGAAGGCCCCAGTGCTGCCGCCCGCATGCGTCACGCACACCCAATTCGGCACACCCCTCACACGTTTCGTGGCCCAATAGGGAGCTCCCCCGAAGGCCCCAGTGCTGCCGCCCGCATGCGTCACGCACACCCAATTCGGCACACCCCTCACACGTTTCGTGGCCCCATAGGGAGCTCCGCCGAAGGCCCCAGTGCTGCCGCCCGCATGCGTCACGCACACCCAATTCGGCACACCCCTCACACGTTTCGTGGCCCCATAGGGAGCTCCGCCGAAGGCCCCAGTGCTGCCGCCCGCATGCGTCACGCACACCCAATTCGGCACACCCCTCACACGCTTCGTGGCCCCATAGGGAGCTCCGCCGAAGGCCCCAGTGCTGCCGCCCGCATGCGTCACGCACACCCAATTCGGCACACCCCTCACACGTTTCGTGGCCCCATAGGGAGCTCCGCCGAAGGCCCCAGTGCTGCCGCCCGCATGCGTCACGCACGCCCAATTCGGCACACCCCTCACACGTTTCGTGGCCCCATAGGGAGCTCCGCCGAAGGCCCCAGCGCTGCCGCCCGCATGCGTCACGCACACCCAATTCGGCACACCCCTCACACGACCCCACCGAAGGCCCCAGTGCTGCCGCCCGCATGCGTCACGCACCCCAATTCGGCACACGCTTCGTGGCCCCATAGGGAGCTCCGCCGAAGGCCCCAGCGCTGCCGCCCGCATGCGTCACGCACACCCAATTCGGCACACCCCTCACACGCTTCGTGGCCCCATAGGAAGCTCTACCGAAGGCCCCAGCGCTGCCGCCCGCATGCGTCACGCACACCCAATTCGGCACACCCCTCACACGCTTCGTGGCCCCATCGGGAGCTCCACCGAAGGCCCCAGCGCTGCCGCCCGCATGCGTCACGCACCCCAATTCGGCACACCCCTCACACGTTTCGTGGCCCCATAGGGAGCTCCACCGAAGGCCCCAGGGCTGCCGCCCGCATGCGTCCCGTACACCCAATTCGGCACACCCCTCACACGCTTCGTGGCCCCATAGGGAGCTCCACCGAAGGCCCCAGCGGCCGCGCTCACATGCGTCCCCGCCACCCATCCCGGCACGCTCCTCACAACAACAGGTTTCGTGGCCCCATAGGGAGCTCCACCGAGGGCCCCAGTGGCACCGCCCGCATGCGTCACCACCCGCACCCAATTCGGCACACCCCTCACACGTTTCGTGGCCTCGTAGGGAGCTGCACCGAAAGCCCCAGTGGCGGCGCTCACAGTACACCCCTCACGCGCTTCGTGGCTCCATAGGGAGCTCCACCGAAGGCCCCAGTAGCGGCGCTTACATGCGTCTCCGCGACCCATCCCGGCACCCCCCCCGCAGCAGCATCATGTTTCGGGGACCCATAGGGAGCTCCCTTGGAGGCCCCAGTGGCGGCCCTCACATGCGTTTCTGCCACCCATGTCGGCACGCCCCGCGCGTGTTTCATGTCCCCATAGGGAGCTTCACCGAATGCCCCAGTGGCACCCATCTCGGCACACCCCTCACACGTTCCGTGGTCCTATGGGGAGTTCTTTTGAATATGAAACCCGCAGCTGCGGTACTGACAACTGCATATGGTTGGGTTCTTCGCCAGGCTAATCTTTTTGGGGCTGTACGGCTATAGGGCTATATGGGCTATGAGGGCTATCGGGCTATAGGGTAATAGAGGTACAGGGCTATAGGGCTAGAGGGTATAGGGGTATAAGGCTATAGAGCTATAGGGCTATACGGCTATAGGGCTATAGGGCTATAGAGCTACAGGGCTATAGGGCTATAGAGCTATAGAGTTGTAGGGCTATAGGGCTATGGGGCACCCCCTGGCACCCCGGCACGCCCGGGCACCCGGGCACCCGGGCACCCCCGGGCACCCGGACACCCGGGCGTGCGGCGAAAATCGTCGGCAAACCTAACCAAACTATATGAATCTGCTGGGACCCCTACAGAGGCAAGCTCTGATTGGAGAATACTGCAATAGACGCTCCCTCCAAGTTCCCTCTTCATAGGTCCCGACATGGATTCATTTTCACTGAGACACGTGCCCCGTTGGAAGACAGCCATCAGAAAATCCTGAGCCGTGTCAGAACACCATTCCTGGGATTGCAACGCCGCGAATCAACGTAATTGTTTCGCCCTGACAGTCTCACACTGTGCGGAAACACCGTTCCTGAAACGCCCACCAAGAAACAGCTTAACTTTTTGTATATTTCTTGACATGCGCGGCGCGAAGGCGAGAGCAACAGTTAAAAAACGGCCCGCCCTCCATCTGTGAAGCTCGCGCAAACATTTAGGACAACTGAAAACCGCCCGCCCTCCATGCGTGAAAATCTTGCAGCCGTCTAAGGCGAGCGTGCGCGGCGCTAAAAACAACGCCCTCCACGTGTGAAACTCTTGCAAATTGTTACGTTCATTGTGCGCGTCGCCAACGCGAGAGCACATTTGGAAAACCGCCCGCTCCCCATTCCCCATCTGGAAATTCTTACAAGCTGGTTAGACGAAAGTGCGCGGCGTTAAGGCGAGACCCTCATTTTGAAAACGGCCCGCCTCCCATCCGTGAACATCCTCAGCCTAAGGATCGCAAATCGCGGTGAAGTCTGAGGTGAAACGCCTGGCATCCTAACCGACACGCTCCGGGGCGCGACAGGGACGAGTCATTTAGAACGAAAAGGGATGGAGGAGGAGGTAGAGGAGAGGGAGGCGGAGGAGGGGTGAAGATGTCAGCGTCAAACAACGGATTCGAGTGCCAACGGCGACAGCCGCGAGAAGGGGGCGGGCGAGGGGGAGGAGGATGAGGCGATGGGGGTGAGGAGGAGAAGAAAGAGGTGGAGAAGGATGAGGAGGAGGAAGAGGAAGGGGAGGAAGCCTCGGGGCACGCAGGACTCGGGCAGGGGCCACGCGCGGCTGTCCCGCGAGCAGGGCATGCCCGCGCCAGTACCGATATTGTACATGTTGGCCATGCTTTGGCATGGTTACGCATATGCTTTTCTTAGGTGGCATTGCGACGGCTTAAATTTTGGGGCAGCGTTCGAAGTGAGACGATCCAGAACGCGACGCATCTGATACCGTAGAGTATACAGATTGCAGTCACAGCGGTTTTGACAATTAATCCGGCGAAGGACCCATCCATATGCAGTCGTGAGTACCGCGTTGTGGGTATTGCGTTGGGGTGTACCGGAAAGGGCGCGGGGACGCATGCGGCCCCTGCTACTGGGGCCTTCGGTGGAGCTCCCTGCGGGGCCACGAAGCGTGTGGTGTGCGTGTGTGTGTGTGTGCCGAAAGGGGCGCGGCGTCCACGTGCGAACGGTGCGTATGGAGCCTTCGATGGAGCTCCGTCGGGGACCACGAAGCGTGTGAGGGGTGTTCCGAGACGAGCGTGGTGCCCACATGCGAACGGTGTTGCCGGGGATCTTCTGTGGAGCCCCATATGGGACCACGAAACGCTGAGGGGTGTGCCCAGACGGGCGTG